TCCCATTAAGGTTTAAGACTGCATTTGATCAGTCTGTTATTGGTATATGTGCATACCGTGCGTATTGCCTTAATTCACAGGCATTTATAAGCAAAGATGGATAGTGGCTAGCAGTGGAATCCAGGACGCGAGTGCCAGAGTGAACATCGAATTTGAGGTGCAGGTACATCTAGCTGACAAGTCCCGAATAGGACGAAACGCGAGTCCTGGATTCCACTGCTAGCCACTATCTATCTTTGCTTACAAATAGCTTGTGAATTAAGGTAATATCGAGGCATACGCACAGTATGCACATATGCCAATAAGACTGATCAATTGCAGTCTTAAACCTTAATGGGAAGATACAAGCCAAACAATACCAAGTAAAACTATGAGATGTTTTTGTTGTGTTTTAATAAATATTAATCATTTATAACATCAAATAGCATCATACTGTCTGTTACCCACACTAAATAGGTGAATTTCATTTGATCAAATATTCTTATCACTATTATTATTAGTACGCTGAAGATTTACAGAAAAGAACATTACACAAACCTACATTGACGCCAAATAATCAGTCGAAAAACGAAGTACTAAGGAAAAAATCAGAAACAGAAATCCGTATGTAATTTAATGTTACTCTTTTTACAATTATTTTATTAACTTTAACAACATGAAATGAAACAAACATAGAAAGGAACACTTCCCTTTTTCTGAATGAATGGAATCGTAACGGATTCGAAAATCTTGTTTGGCCTTAGACAACTTGTATCACTTGCGGTGTAGACCAAATGTCTGTCAGACAATATAATGGGAAGTATAATGCTCAACAGTCTGTTCTGTGAAACGTGGCTAAGCACGGGTGTCTTTAACATTTTCCTAGCGTACCGTGGAACGATCGAGTAAGTAAACTTGAAGTTAGGTGCAGGGCACATGGTAAATCGGTGCACTTTAGAAGATCGTCAACATCATACGGAATTCATACGAAGGACTACACTGCAAAGTCGTGCATGGTAGACAGCTGAAAGACGCATTCCAAATGACAACCAGAGTCAAACAAGGCTGCTTATTTTCCCCGTTTCTCTTTCTTCTCGTGGTCGATGGGATTATGAAAACCTCCACTTTTTAAGGGATGCACGGAATACAATAGACAATTTGAATGTGGCTAGATGATTAGTTTACAAAGGATGCCTCTAACTGATATTAGCTCCTATGAATTGCGCAATACGAAGCCTGATTTTATCGATGATATCAGTCTCTGAGAGGTCTCCAATCCCCAGATCTCTTAATACAACAGAGGGTATAAGGAGTTCTCTCTCTCTCTAGAAATCCTCCCATCGGTCCACGCGTTTATAGCTCCTGGCAAGGAAGTGTTGCTCAATACCTTCTCGCAGTGGGTTTACTCCTTATGGAATTGGCAGGATGGAAATAAAACCCACGGTGTCTAAGCCGGGTCGATGGATAAAAAAAGGGATAGCCTAGGAGAGTTAAGAAACTATGATTTCAAACCAAAAGTAAATATTGGTCCCAGGATCCCAAGAGGATGGATGATGAATAAACCTATTTCTGGTCAATGATCAGCATAGGATGACACCTAACGTTGCTCGATTACCCTGTCAGTCAAAGGCTAGGGAAGTGGCTCCTTAAGAAAATCACTTCCTTCGGTTTGGGCGCCCAAGCAATATCCTAACCCACACATAAATATTCTTTTGCGACGCATATTATTTTTGGTACCCAGTTATAAAACATTTTATGTGAATTAAATAAATAAATAAAATAGCCCGCACAAGTGCTAATTAATCTGGCCACATACACGAATATTTCTACTGTCTCTAGGAACTTACCTAGAAGAATAAATGTAAGTACAATTTTCACAGTGAAAAATGCATACGACGTTTACATGAGCTGATTATTAACTGATTACAAGTGATTTAGATTTGTGATTGTAAGACAAAACGAAATCATCCACATACTCTACATTAAAGGTCATTCTTCAAGTAAATGACCTGTACAACTAGCAAGGACTTTTTCCTGGGCCTGTAATCACGATCCGCTTAAATAGTAAAATCAGAAAGAAACGGTAAGAGGATGTTATTCTACCCAAACCTACCTCCAGTTTATCCCCAAGTCAAATACTAGTTTTTTCTCTGATTTTATCGGGAAAAAAGTAACATATTGACTTTACTTTCTAGTAAAGAAGACTTGAAGAACAGAATACTGCAACACATCAACTTCAAATTTATCATTCCAATGATTTTTCTACATTATCTTATTCTTTTCAATGGCGGTGTGTCCAACCAAATAATTACAATAAATTCCTTTCAAGAAATCGATTCATTTAATAGTACCTCTTTACGTACGAAGCAATTTAACTGTTGATTCCAGAAGACGTTTCGGTTGTAACTGACTAGTGGATAAAGACAGTTAATGGATATAACTACATAATTTGTGGATATTAGGATCTACATACTATTAAATGCAAATGCTTTTGGTTTATATCCACTACGTAGTCGACGATGCATACGACCGATGCAGGAAAAATGACCTAGTGCCCCAGCAAGGATCCGAAGGCATTTTCTGGTTAAATATGTACAACTTACTGATGTTTTAACAACAAACTTTACGGTTCATAGTAGTAAAACAAAAGACAGAACGGTTATGTAGTTTACCCATACTTCAGCATCCCCGATAGATAGTATACAAAGTAGTCTAAGTGTTCGGCTACTAAGCTTAAATCGAAAAATATACTTATGTGAATCTAATTGCCCTCAGTTATTTTAGTTGGTTTTTTCTATAGATGTTACAATGTGAGACAATGTAATGTCGATATCTATATTTCAATCACCTTTCTCAGTATATTTTGTTTAACAAGCCCCAATTATTTAACTTTGCAGTGTTTGAGACATTTTAGGTTGATCATTATGATACATGAATGCACCATAAATTCCGAAGAAAATGTGAACTCCAGGTTTTAAATCATATATCCTGAACAATAGTTAAGTAAAATAATTCACGTCAGTTTGACATTGACTACTGAAAAATCTACATATCTATTAGCAATTTTAACTTAAATCAACTAAATTTGATGAGTAGCTAATCCCCCATTTGTTTTCAGTTTTGATTTCACGTATGAATATAGCCAGTAAATATGACTTGTAGTCAACTACTATCGATTAAATATTTCACACTAGGTAGCAATATTTTACAACTCTAGAATAGGTGATAAGATAATGAGGTACAAGAAACTAAATTATTGTATTTTGAACTCAGTATTTATCAAAACATACAAATAAGATTGATGGTTAGTTTGCTTGAAAGATTTTTCTAGAATAAATTAGATAAACTGATATATATATATTCGAACTTAGAATCTTCGATTCTATTGTTACACTTAAACAGCCCCCAAATGCCCTGGCACGGACGAGAGTGGGGAAAGTCCGCTCTCCCTCTCGAAATGCTCTCACACGGCCACGCGTATATAGTCTCTGTCAGAGAAGTCCTACTCACTGCCACCTAGCAGCACAGGTGTTGTTTACCAAATTGAGAAGACGAAAAGCGAATGTCCGGCGCTTTAACCAGGTTGGTGGATATGGAGAGTCCACATAGGGAAGTTGGAAAACCCTCATTCCAAACCAATGGTGCACATGGGCTCCAGTATCCTGCGGGAACAAATGGCGTATGAACCAATCGTTGGTCACCGGCTACCATGGGACTGCATCTCCTTACCTTGCTCCACTGCCTTGTGGATTAGACCTTTAGGTCGAAGGCTCCGGATGTGACCCCCTAAGAAAACTACCTGTTTCGGTCTGGGCACCCGGGCAGTATCACAGCCCTCACACATATCGAATGAGATTTGTGTGGTGCATATGTATTTAGTGCTTCATTGTACCGATATCTATGTGTTAAAATAAATAAATAAATAAATACACTTAAACCATTGATTTAAAATCAAATAATTCATATGTTCAACTTTAATGGATTTGAGATATAACGCCAAGAACATTTAATTTCATAAATGACAACAGTCTCATTCACAACATGATTGTACACTACTAGAATTAAAATATTTCACTAGAACGTAAGGAATTCATAACTAAATGGAATAAATTTCATTCATTCCACAATAAACTTGTAAATTGAACAATTATTATTATTACCTGATATTAATTTAAATATTCGTAAAATATTAGAGTAAGATAACTGTATTGATTAGCTAAACAAAAACCCATCTTAATAGTTGAATTCATAAGTCAATATAAGCTGAACGTGGGACTCGAACCCAGGTTTTTAATGGTAGTCTAGCTAAGATTGACTTATAAATCCAACCATTAAAACTACTACAATCTCCACAAATCCCCATTGTGATAAAAATCTACTTAAAGTTAATAACCATTAAACAGTCGCTGACCGGTGGTTATTTCGGAGTTCGTTGAAGAGTGCGTCAAAAACAAACAATCACTCACTGACTCTGGGAGAACTCCCCGGGCACTGGACAAAGAGTGTTGTCCGCCAAGTGCGGGTTTCCCACCCAGTCTCCATGCCATAACTGCGGAGAAGTACTGCACATGGCCCTGCAGCTGTGTGTGGTGCTGAGCAGATGACCTGGTTGGATGGGCGCTAGCCTCAGGTGTACGGTTATTGATCACATCTCAAAATGGGGGTCACGGGACGTGACGCCACACATTAAATAGTAGAAACTTTTAAAACAAGAATTTCCAACTAAAGGAATATAATTCGTATCAGAAGAGGTTTTGTGAAGATTGTAGTAATTTCAGTAGTTGACATCATGAGTCAATTGAAGCAAGATCATCATGGAAAACCTGGGAGCACTGGACAACAGTTTCGTCCTACTAAATTATTCGTTTATAATGATGTGAATTCATCTATACATTTAGCTCAATAATCAGAACCAAAAAAGACTTAAAATAATCGAAACTTTTTTCTTTATTTTATCGGTAAATTATACAAACTACATAAAATTTACAAAAATTTATAGAAAAGAAATATTAATATAAGTATCATCTACTTTCAAGACAATGTTTAGCAGTTACAGATGGTATAATACGATTGACTAACCAATCAGGCATATCTTTGTGACAAAGACGGATGATATCATTATGACCATAACGATCTGAGAAGTGTATCAGATAGATATAATCAACAGACTGAAAATATTCAAAAAAAAACGAGGAGAAGTGGAAATTTATTTGATAAAATACAACGAATTAGTAAGTTGATAATAAGAATAACAATATCAAGGAAATTAGTTACTACTTAGTAATTAATTAATGTAAATATCTCAGTCCAATAAGTCAGTCGAGATGTAAATGGCTCAGTGGTGATTTCCTATACTATGTAACTGGGAGATATGGGTTTGAACCTAACATTAGAGTACCACTTCTCTCAAGGAGCATGCTAGTATGTTTTGTCAATGAGCCTTAACTAAAACGAAATTTAGATTCATGGATAGTTCTAGAGACCAACTTCTAACCATCTAACATCAAAATACTAATGGAACTCAAATTTGACCCACATCGCTGTTGTGCGTTACAGCTGACAATATTACTCAGCTTACTAAATCGATGCTTGAGTAAACAGGATCTTGCACCTTCAACCTACTTGTCAAAAACCACATGATTTAACCACTAAACTAATGTAGTTAAATTAGCGATCAACCAAGGGTTAATGAAATAGAAATTTCTCTATTGCATATTTAAAAACACACCGTTATGTATGACATTATTGAATCAATTAGTACAAATTATACTTTTGGATCCCGACTCAGTGGTCTAGAGGTTAAGCGTTCACGCGTGTAACTGTAGGTCCTGGGTTTGATTCCCGTGCGCGGGGTTGCGCATGCGCATAGCTAAAAAGTCCGATACTAGAATGAAACGACAGTTTAGTGTTTACATGTTTTCAGTGGTGATTTAACTTAGATTCATAATTTAAATGAAATTCAACAATCTTCACAAACACTAACTGACAATCACTTTGCTGTTGTAATTTTAGGCTGCTTATTAAAGTGGTCATTTCGTTAAATAACGGTTCTTTGCAGTTAATATGTCAAGTTTTGTGTCTCGATATTTAGCGATTCAATGAAATATTAGGTTATGGAAGTAATTATCATCACATGGCAAGACTGACAAACCAGGTAGGTCAAAACCAGTTACACAGGATGATTAGTTTCCCGATCAGCTATCAACCTAGATACACGTGAAGTTGCTCGTTTTAAAATATTACATTCAAAGATTATAAACTTATTGTGATGAATTAATAAGACAAAGGGGGGATATTTATCGAGATGTTCTGTCGTCTAAGCAGCATTTTTCCTAAAGCCTTTTTTTCTTATATGAAAAATTGGATATGATCTCTAATCTAATAACTTAAGAGGTACTATTGTCTGTCCTAATCCTTGTCAAATTTTCTACTCATTTACTAATGATGCTTTAAATAATGATTAACATGCTGCTAAGAATTTTGACTTTAAAACACCTTGCGACTTTCACCAGAGATCGTTTTGACAAAAGTGAAAATACAAGCGCTTATTTCTACTTTGATCAGTAGCTTTAAAAGTCTTGACTAATTCTTCTCTGAGATCGCCTCTTACTATAGTCCCTAGTATCGTCCGATTGACTTCTCGATCGGTGTTATCAAGACCGCTAAATACTCCCATGTAAGTATTGCTTTTACCATTTCCTTTCGGCTATTCATTAGATCTTGGTACATGAGGATCCTGCAGTGAGAGGGTTGTATATGTCATAAATTTAAAATTCTAAGTGTGATTAATGATTTTTCAATCGATTACAAACAGAACATTGCAGTAATAAAATATGAAATTCTGAGAATACAAAGTGATATATGTAAGGTTACAAATTCATGAAAGTAGATTATTGATTTATCCACTTATTTGAACACATAAACATTGGTACAAGAAGACACTAAATACATATGCACCACACAATAACAATGATGCCAATAGTAGTTATCATTGATTTGTGTGAGGACTGGAATACTAATCGGGTGCCCAAACCGAAGCAAGTGGTTTTCTTAGGAGAACACTCCGCGAGCCTTTCACCTAGAGGTCTAGTCCACAAGGCAGTGGAGCAACGTTAGAAGATGCAGTTTCACGGTAGCTGGTGACCAACAGTATATTCGCACGTCATTTTTTCCCTTAGGATCCACGAGCCCATGTGCACCATTGATTTAAAATCAGGGTTTTCCAACTCCCCTAGGTGGACTCTCCGTTTCCACCAACCCGGTTAAAACCCCGGATTATTGATGTGACAAAACAATTAGGTTGGGAAACAGTGAAGCTATATTAGTTACAAAACATAACTAGGAAAGTAGTGTATCAACTATTTTCCATTATGTCCAAAGATTAGTTTGCGGAACTCTACAAATCATCATTTTCCATACTGCTTCATTTCCTTAATATTCTTCCCTTTTCACAGATATAACATTGAATCAATAGGATCCAGGGAAGCGTATATTCTAAGCTAAACTAACTTAATCGCAACGGGTACAGATAAAAGTTGTAGAACCTCACTTAATGTCAACGCACTACCGGAATGGAGTTCATGCTATTTCTTCTGAAAACTGATGATAATTAGTATAATCTGTACCAATTGCTTAAAAGCTTTTCTTATTAATATTTAATATAAGTCCTTGAAGTCACTAACTTCTAGCCTGAGCGATGTTGGTAGATGCAGACTACTTGATTGGGGTCCGCGCGACCATCTTAACCAATTGTTGGAGACTAGATAACATATCTCAGAATCGATCACAATGATGTGGTTGTACACACTCTTTTTCTTTCCTTAAACCGTGAGATTAAAATTGCCTTATACTTTTGTTTCTACGAACCAATTCTTTCTTTCCGTATTAAGTGTTGATACACAATCTTTCTTTTATATATTACTACCATTGAAGTAACTGCTTCTATAAATCTGGTGTTCATTTTGTTGTGTTAATGAGGTGTGGCAACTTGGACTGATGCATATGTCTGGTCCTACATCGTAGCTGACTGACTGATCTCGTTTTGCGTACAGGTTATTTTCGGCCCGGATGATTGTACTTAGTCCCTTCAATAAGTGATAATAACTTCAGTGTGAAATAAGCCCTCAAATACCTTGGTACGGCCAAGGGTAGAGAGAGTCCACTCTCCCTCTCGAAATATTCTCACATGGCCACGCGTATACAGCCACTATCAGGGAAGTCCTACTCACTGCCTTCTCTCAACAGGGGTGTCGTTTACGAAATTGAGAAGATGAAAAGCGAATATCCGGAGCTCTAACTGGGTTGTTGGAACCGGAGATTCCACCTAGGGGAGTTGGAAAACCTTCATTCCAAATCAATGGTGCACATAGGCTCCTGGATCCTGAGGGAACAAATGATGTGCGAATATACTGTTGGTCACCAGCTACCGTGAAACTGCATCTTCTAACGTTGCTCCACTGCCTTGTGGACTAGACCTCTAGGTGAAAGGCTCGCGGAGTGTTCTCCTAAGAAAACCACTTGCTTCGGTTTGGACACCCGATTAGTATTCCAGTCCTTACACAAATCGAATGACGAAGTGTGGCTCATATATATTTGGTGCCTCCGTGTACTAATGTTTATGTGCTTAAATAAGATAGTAATAATAATACTAATAATAATAACGATAGTAAAAATACATTCACAAGGACTATGAGGACTTCTCTTCTACCTTGATGTGGTGGTGGAGTTTCCATTTCGTGATGACACGACTAAAATCCCAAGTCGTACAAGCCATCCCTAAACGCTTTCTTCTCAACCATCTCAACAGAAATCATTCTCCAACTGTATGAGCAGTAGGGAAAATACAACCGCTCTCACACTTCTAACAGCACTCAAGGTCATCGCTACTATCTATCTCGGAGAACACATCACCGGTACTGATAATATTAATTTGGTTTAGATTGGAAAAGTGTTTATAAGGTCTATGTAGCTATGAAAATTGCCTATTTGCACTTTAATAATGCTACAACAAAAATGTTATTCCTTAAAAAAAAACAAATAAACGCAAAGTCCACAGTAGCAATCGAATTTACTACAACTCTGATACAAGAATATTTGTAAACAAACAAGGATCAAACTAACAACTGAATAGTTCGGAATAAAAGCTAACCGCTTAGTTCAGAAAAAAAACTAACAACTACCTTTAGCAAAGAAGCATTCTGACGAATTTCATCCAAATGCGTATGACCATGACTTCTAGCGCTTTCAATCTTACGATCTGGATTATCTAGAAATGTTGCTTCCATTATCAATAAGCGAGATGATAAAAGATCTGGGCAGAGTGAATTCGCTTCACGAATAACAGTAAATCTAGAATCACCTATAACAGTAAACAAAACAAAAGAACATTTACATAATAATACAAGATAAATAGACATTCAATATTGTAGTTAAAACCTTTTTTAATTACTTGACAAACAAAAAATAGGTAAAAAGTATTTGATGGGTTGGTAACGTAAATCAGATGTATGTTTTAGCAATAATGTCACTATTTTGAATGTTCAAAATACCTTAAGGTTTCAAAATATTTGGGTAGTGATTTCGTTGGAAAGTGGAGTGTACAATGATACAGACGCAACTACCACTTATTATTTAACAAATGGTCAAAATCGCGTCATTTTACAACTTGCTGTTACTTAGCATTATTGACCTCTTTTGGTGTATTGATATGAAGTGTGGTAACATGGCCTGAAGCATCTTTGAACCAGGATCAAGATGTCTATGGATGATGACCGACAAAGCGGAATCCACCACAATGCATTTTCTCGAAAATTCAGTCAGAACGGATCGCTGAAAGAAAGTAGCTGTTACCATATATTAGTTTCAGTATACTACTCCCAGGTTTTTTATAACAGATATGATAATAGGCCAATGTTTAACAAGATAGACCTTGAATAATGCCGAAGTAACTGTCCCATATATATAATTGGGATTCTTTTACCTTTGAACTAAACATATAAAATCAGAATGGCTGAAATGACTTAAAAGCGACCACGTGTGAATAGAAAGTTTAAATTCCCTTACTTAGAAAAAGCATGTTAACACGTTTAATGAAAAAAACCCCAACAAATCAGAGAGATAAGAAATATAAGATAGAACACACAAGTGTACAATTACATATATGTACATTGTTATTTACTGAAGTTGAAATACCGCTGTTGAAAACTAGTAACAGCTATCCCAATATGATTTTTCACAGAGCATTTAACACGGGTAGCGGAAATAATCAGCCATTACTGTTAACCGTAGAGTTTAAGTAGAAAAACGGTCGAACAAAAGTCCGAGAATCTAAACTAACTGAGATAACTGGATAACCACCTATTCTGATGTGTAGTGTGGTTTGCCAAAATAAGTGTTTAACGTTCAGTTTAAGCTTCACATAAAAGAGCTACTCACATTGTTATCAGCAATATTGTGGATATAATTGAATAAGAACTAGTTTGCTAACAAAACAATGACATTCATATAGAACCAGTCGTTCAATAATATTCCAACATACCTAAATAAGCTATTTCCGGAACTTCTTTGCCAGTAGAATCTCGAGAATAAAGTAAATAACCCACACTAGTAATCGAGTGATCAGTTGAAAGAACAACAACATGCCAATTATTCGATAACTGAAAATGTGCAGAACCACATGTAAATGATGTAAGCACAACTAACCTCATATTTATTTCCTGGTTCAACGGGAACAAAAGTACCAACAAAGTCTGAGTCGACTTTTTCAGACATAACAGTGAAAGCATCGCAAATAGTCTTCACATGTGGGACCAGATGCTTTGGCATGAAATACGTCGCTGTTCCTAGATTATTTAAGGCTCTCTTTTTCATATGCTGGGCAATAGCCCCAATATGATCTGCATGTCCATGACTAGAAATTGTTAACTTCACTATTAAGTTACCTAATAAATATATGATCGGCAAAAACGAGTGGTCTAGGTGAAAATCCAACATCGAAACCGAATACTTGACCATTCTTACGTACAGCAACACAGGTCTCGTTTCCGGCAACCGACCAGCCAAAAATCTCGAATTCCCCGACTTTCTGGAAACTCATACCTAAATAAACTTTTATACATGACTACATCATACGAAAAATTATTTAAAGCACATGAATTCCGGCACAATAGGGCATTAGAAACGCGTCACACGAATAATAAGTAAGTGGAAAGGAATACCTAATAGGAAATACATTTAAGCCAAAAACAGCCTATAAAGCCCCTTTTCAGATAAGTGTTCACCACTTGCTTTTACTTTACGTCACATTTGACAACATCAAGCTATGCGAAACAAGTGATTACATTTGCCATTCTACCGAGACCTTTTTAGGCTGACGTGCTGTTGTTAACGAGTGCCCACGGTATATAACTCGTTTGTCATGGGTGCGCGAGCAATGTGTTAACAACTAATCTGCACACAAGGTCAGCAAGAGTAGTTATTGATGTAATCTGGTGTTTGTATTTCAGCTAGTTTACCCTCTTATTCCATGGTTCTAGTGGACTCAAACTGCTTTCAAAAGCGGTCTGGGCTCTGTCAGCTCTCATAAAACACCAGTGTGAACGTGACCAACAGAAAAATGTATGTGACTTATACTTATGAGCGGGTTATAATGGTACAACAGTCATGTCTAAATGGATGCGTCATCGGAGTATAGTACCGCTCAGGAAAAATACAAACAAATGATTAACTTTTTGTGAACTTAATGGTTGTGGTTGACCTTGTTTCGTTGGGTTTTTCCTGACCCATGCCGTTTGTTACTTCTTTGTGATTCATCATGTGATTTAGGTGAGACTATAATTTACGAACGAACTAATAAGATTTAAGATAACAAATCATAGATTTTAGCGCGAAGTTCATCTACTTGGTCAAATAGCGTTTTGGCATGTTAGTTGATGTCAGTTCGCGATGTAATCCCTAAACTTAATTTCTAACCCTAACCATAAACTGTAAATCATAATTCTGACTAGTTTATAGCCCTCATTTAGTCTTAGTTAGTAGGTGAACACGTTCACGGTCACTTCGGTTTCGCTCAAAGGTCGCCCATAAGTTATAGACTCATCTCAGATATTCGTTCCCAATACTAACTGGTAGACTGTCAATGGAAGTGCTCCAACCCTCAGAACTGCTAATCGTCTGATGCGCTGGACTATAGTGCACTTGTTTTAGTAGCCAATGATTTTGTTAACGGGAATGTTTAGACACCCATGAATAAAACAGGTGGACGTGACTAAGTTCTGAAGTCAGAAAGAGATAGTTATCATGCCCCCACTTAATTCCTACTCTCCAGTCGATTTTGCTGTCAAATTGCAGTTTTATTATATCGCATCCCACTCTACAACGATAAGCGCAACAACACAATACGAATAGAAAAGTCTCATACTACTGAAACCAGTAAAAAGCATGACTTCAGTCGCAGCTATTGAGTGATTATCTGACGTTCGGCTAGACTATCTTTATTATCACCAAAAACAATCAGGTATCGAGATTTGGGTGAGACTATAATTTATAGACGACCTTTGAGCGACGCCAGACTGACCTTGGGGGTGTCCACTTAACAACTAGTGTCAAATTACGGTTATAGACCTGCATGAGGAATTAGAATTATAATTTACAGTTGATTATTAAGGCTAGGAACTAGATTTTGAGTTTCCATCAAGAACTGACATCAGCTATAATGCTGAAACTATATTTACCCAAATGGATGAGTGAATTTCCCGCCAATATCCGAGACCTGTTACCTTATATTTGATTGTTTCGTCCATAATTAATAGTCTCGCCGCGTTGGTCAAGGCGTTTAAGCTATTAACTAGGCACGGAAAACAAAATCTGTATTGTGGCCCGAACTTAGAGTACGTTTACAACTGATACATCATTACTATGATGAGAAAGCAACAAAATACATAGACAGATTGCTTTGAGAAATTCAAGGTTTTCAAGACTATTCATGTTACAAGTATTCTTAATAAGTTATATCGAACTTTAACGAGCACGTAATTGTAAACAACTAACACACCACGTGACCTTGAATTCGAGTGAAGCTCTTTTTTCCAATGCCATATGTTTTAAGGATGGCTGACATAAACAAAATAAACATCATACTCCAGCTTTTTCATATTAGTCCCAGTTAAATTGGTATTCATTTGAAAGTTTATATATGATGTATGCTGTTTCAGAAGGATGGAGTTGCTAAAGATAGTCGTTTTTCTGTTACAAGGCAGTTGAAAAGCTGGTTGCAATGTGACGATTATGAAACCAGAAATGAAAAGAATTCTCAAAGTAAATGAGTTTTAAGATGAATTAATAGGTAAAGTATCTAAATAGTCAAACAAACAAACATGTGGAACAGATGACAATTAGTTAGGAATTTAGTGACTTTCACAGATGCCTCATAACACCTACTCACATTCATGTTAAATTTTGGACAGAATGCGGTCGATTGCCCTGTGACAAATTTTTCGTACTTTGATCTTGTCCATCCCCAGCCCATAACATATTTTTATACATGATTGCGTACATAAATACCTATCCTTCTTAATTACCGGTGCTTTATAAATAGTATATTTGCGAAGATAAGGTGCAACTCTTGCTCAGGGTTCGAAGAGGACATCAACTTCTAGCCAGAATGTACATCAATAATGCTAAAACTGAGTAGACACAAGCGGACTGAAATAATATTAATACTGAAATAATACAGGAACTGAATTTGTGTTAATACTCTAAATTGAAATCATCATCAATTCTATAGGAATTGAAATGACACCAGCAAGAGAGTAACCGGCGATTGTACTATAGTGTAGAAAATCCAGGAACACCCTAAACTGGTTTAATCTGCATTGTATTGGAATGAGTCCAAACTGTTTCAGAACATTATTTAGTCATTCTTTCAAATGTTTACACACGCATCCATATAAACTGACACGATCAATAGTGGTGATAGTGTAGTGTCAGTTATTATATTAAGCCAATATACCTTATTCTAGTTTTTGGACAAACCAACCTATTCATTCTACTTGAGTCATATGTTGACCTTGTCAATTATTCGCTTGTCAGTCTTGACTGTTTTTATATGAGCGTATATATATGTGTGCCCTCCTTATTTCATCAATCACATGTCTGTAGCTTTATTTTGTCTGACTATAAATATTGAGTAACGCTTGACTAAAATGGAGTTGGCTACCCAGCCATCTTCCCTGCGTGTCACTTTGCTTTGCTCTGTTTCATTCGTCTCATATACAAAATATATGTATGCACAGGTCAATTCTCGTTATTTGACTTATTTAATTCCGTTATTGGCTAACGTGATTTAAGTCGACGATTATATACGAGAATAGGCGATAACAAACATTTATACGATCTTGGAGTCAGATCCACGGGCCACTAAAAGAGATCGCTCTTCCTCTCGAGATGCTTTCACATGCATTCAAAGTCGCTCCTAAGGAAGTCTTACACACCACTTTCGCGCGGCGAGGGTGATTTTTGCGAAAGTGAGAAGACGAAAAGCGAATAAATGATGAGTCTTGCTAATTGAATGCTGTATTCGGTTCTCAAGCTATTCTAGTAACTCCCAAGCTAGAACTACTCAACAACCTGAACATGAGAGAAAAGGCGCAAAATAAACGAGAAACACTTTACTCCAAAGGTTCGTTTTAGTACAGAAAATATAGGGTTTTTATAGTATTTTAGATTTTCTTGGTTTTCCCGAAAATTCCGGAATGCTACTAAACATAGAAGCAGTATAAGTAATCAGTCAATCAAAAACTCTACATGTGACTTTTCATTTTCTCGATGGTTCTTGTGAACGCTCATTGTATAAAAATGCTTTCTAGTTTTTCCTGAGTTCTTTCTTGTCTTTTGCGAGAAGTTTTCTGGGTCACCCCAACAATACACGGAGCTCTAATTGGGTTGGTGGATATGAAGGATCTACCTATGGGAATTGGAAAGCCCCGATTCCAAACACATGGTGCATGTGAGCTTGTACTGGCACTGGACACTATCCACACAGTCCTCAAAGCTGAATACGAGACACTTGAGAAAATAGATGTTCAACATTTTGATGTGGAGAAAAACCCGACGATGAAGAAGGCTGGAACAATGAATCGAATGAATTCGGATTGACCTGATGGCATGGCTCAGCCTCACAGGTGTGGTCGCTCTCTGTATAACTTGCTCTTACTCATATTAAACATATTGTTCTATCTCCAGTTATATCATGACGAATCTGCAATTTTAGGATTAAGTCTATTATGAAAGCAGTACTAATATCATAGTGAACCATAATTCAACAAGCTTCCGGATCCTGAAAAAATAAATGACGTGGGAACATATTGTTGGTCATCAGCCACCATGAAAGTCCATTTCCTAACGTTGTTCCACTGCCTTGTAGTCTATACCTCTATGCGAAAAACTGGTGGAGTGTTCTCGTCATACAAATCGAGTGACAAAGTGTGGTTCATATGTATTTGGTGCTTCCTTGTACTAATTTTCATTTGTTTAAGTTGAAAATGACACAGGTATTCAGTGTTTGACAACGCTTTTACCAGCAACACCTAATATAATTCGTTCCCACCCAGAGAAATCAAAAGACAGAGTCGAGGAGATCGGAAGAGTGTATTTGGCGATAACCAATATATCGGAATTCTCTGATCTAATCTGGCTAGCGATTGCGGTTGATGTTGAGCACGGCGTTACCACACGTGATCTGGTGCGGATGCCTGGCCGAGCGCCTTTAGCTAGATGAGTTCACTAAAACACATGGTCAGCATCCAATGTCGAAAACTTACAGAGCTATTTATTTTGGGGATTTATTTATCGCTACAAAGTAAACAATATTGATACACCATATCATCTATAATGATATTGTACACGTTGTATTGATTTCATAACCTCAATTTAAAATGGAATGATTTGTGGCCCTTGTTCAACTCAATGTTCATATTTAGTTTGTATTCAAAGCATGGACACTAATATCAATAATTGATTCACTGCATAATCAGAAAATTGAGTTGAAAACATGGCTCTCACAGCTACACTCGTGTTTAGTTTTTGTTAGATATCTATGAAATTCATGAAATTACAACTATTGATCTGTGACAAAAAGTTTTTAGTGATAGCGTTGTCGTTTACGACTTTTATGATAAACGAAAATTCGGGAAGCTCACAGAAAATCTGAAATGCAGTTGGCACAATCTGCAATCAAGCAGCCCAAGAGATGCAGCATTGGATTCGTGGCCTAACTGCGTAAGGGAGTAGATCTGAAGTGACAGAGGATGATCAAGAAAAAGTAGAGGCTAGAACAAACTATTTCGGGCAGTTTTCACACGGGAACTTATCTTACACAAAGAAACGGACCCAAATACAATGTCAAAAACCATCTGCTCACCGTGAATTTTAATCAAGACGATGTGCTTAAGGCTACTCGCATTTTAGCCACGGAAAAGTAAACAGGACCTGATGAACTGCATCCCAAACCCCTGAGACGAATTGCACAATATGTTACAGCCACAACAATTGTGATAATTAATATGTCACTCGACCAAGATGTGTTACATATGGTGTGGAAGGGTGCAATCGTTACTCTCATACATAAAACAGGACCAAGACAACTTCCATCGAACTATAGACCCGTTAGCCCCTCCAGTATCGTGGAAACCAACAACTTGTTAGACAGCCAACATCATGGTTCCAGAAAAGGTTTATCTTGCACAATAAACCTCCTTATAGCAATCGAGCAATGGATAAAGACCCTAGACAATGGAAAATTAGTGGATGTTGTCTACATAGACTTCAGCAAACCATTTGCTAAGGTGCCGACAAATAGACTGCTCTTGAAGCCGGAAATTATAGGTATTGCCGGACCCCTCCCAAAATAGCTTAAGGATTTCGTAGTAGGTCGTAGACAGAAAGCAATAGCAAATTCCAAATGCCTCACCTGGAGACCAGTACTTAGTAAAGTACCTCAGGGTTTTTTCCTAGGTTCTTCACCTTTTATGCTGTATTTAAATGAACTTCCAAGTATAATTGAGTCCACAGTGTTACTATACGCTAATTTAAAATTCTGGCGACAAATAACAGGAAACGCAGATGCATACGTACTTCAGGAAGACCTAACTGGTCTGAGTAGTAGCTGATGGCTATCAACGCGGCGAAGTATGTCTACATGCACTTTGAGTATACAAGGGTAAATATGTACAATATAGGAGAAGTGCCTATACCCGTGGTTCGGTCTCACAAGGATCTTGAGGTGACAGTGAGTCATGATCTTAAGACCACGGCCCATTGCCGAGAGGCAGAAGACAAGGATTTTAGAACCCTATGGGCTTTAAGAGGGACATTTACTAAGTTAGATACTACCATGTTCATTGCAGTATACAAAACCTTAATAGAGCCCGAACTTGAGAACTGGGCTCAGACTGAGAGCACTTGTTTCAAAAGAAACTCACAATAGATCGAAACATCTCAGAGGACATAGCAGGTGTACGGCCTGTGAAATGTCACTGAGCCCCAACCAAATAACTAGGCAGTTGGGTCACTGAATATTGAACAAATCATCGATCCCCGTAAAGGTCAATGACAACCAACACGCATCAGTTAATCGTACGCCATGGACTGGCCCATGCGGCGGTGGTCTTACTTTCACTTGTATCTACTTTAACTAAGATATTTCTGTAATAATGTCCATTGTGTTGTACAGTCTTCAAAGCATCTATAGTACCTCGATACGTCGATGGGGTAATCCACGTAAGGTGCTGACCGCGAGGTGTGACTTCGACGTTAGCTGGTTCGTCACACAATTCCCGTCTAACTCTAATAAGCCTCCAGTCATCCGAGATAGATCATCTACACTAGTGATTTACACAGGCGAGTATAAAGGCGAGGAATCAACAAAATGCCCTTTGCACACAGATTTTAACACTAAGTCAGCAATTCTGTGAACCCGTTACCCGAAGCAGTAGTGCCTGCACCTTTAATTGACTCATTCAAGAGAAGAACAGACACTCATAGAGTCACGCTAGAAAAGGAGTAACATGGAAAATAGGCGTTTTGTTCTTACTACACAAATCTGAACCGAAATATGAATCTGAACGCTCGATTAAATCGAGTTGCCTCACTTGCCTTCTCCAACCCGCTTCGCTCTCCCCTCTTCGTCATGAGTACATAAAATCTAATTATTTAATCCCGTTATTCTCTAATGTGGATTATGTCGATAAATATATACGGAGGTAGGTGGGATTTTTATTTCTATAACAACCAGTATACAATCCAACTGGAATCAAACACAGAGCTTCTAGACAGTTAAATGGCTTGTTCACACACACTGGACGACATGATTTTCCTGAATCTATGTCACTGCATCAAGTATCTAGAACAAAGAATTAATTAAATTATGTAAATTCGTCTTGACGATATTGGATGTCGTACGAAGACAATTTAAACCTTCCGCCCTATTCAGGTTTAGGGTCATCAAATGTGCTTTTGTGGCTGTGTTTGTGTTGGTAAGGCTTTCCAGGACTATATGTAATATGAAAAATCTTGATTCTGTCGAAAAACTTATTTCTGTCTTTTGGGTGGTTGTTTCTTGTCAGCCTAACAGTGTAGTTGTGGTTGAGACGTCCGAATCCCATCTTCTGAGTCCTGGGTCTGATCTCTTCACTTACTTCAGTTTAAGCATCTGAAAAGTGTTATTAGCCGGTTTCTGAGTGTCTGAAGAATGAGTTGGCCTGAATTCCAGATGGAACTATAGTTTATGAACGACACTTAGGTGACGCTAAAGTGAAATTGAAAGTGTCCACCTACTTACTTGTGTTAAATGAGGTTTACAAACCAGTGTGAGTTATTAGGATTAGAATTTATGTTTAGAATTTAGGGTTGGGAATTAGAGTTGGGGTCTTCATCATGAACTGACATCAGCCACATGAATGAGTGAATTCCGTTTCTGAATCTAAGACTAGTCATCCTAAATTCGATCAGTCCGTCCGTAAACTATGATATCGCTCCTAACGCAGTGTGACAGTTTGTAGCTGTAAACACGATGTAGTCCTACAACCAATGACTTCACGAAGTAGTTCCACTTTTTGGTTTGGCCACTCATCTGTTCTTCAAATTAGTTTACAGCAACCAGCTCCTCCCGTATCTGGGCTATGGTGATATTCGCCTTACCAGTCAGTTAACGAGGACTTAATCTCATCAGTTTACTTCTTATTTTTACTCTTCACAAGGAAATATAAAGCAATTAGTGATTGTTGAGAATCTAAAACTGGGAAATTTATTGCGATTTTCTCACAGTCCGAGTATTTGGGCTAGTTCCCATATCAAATATACTCTGTACTGGTAGAATCATATTTATCCATACAACTGTAACATCTCTTAGTAAGATACTTCATAAGCTTGAAATTTCGTTCGTTGTAAGTATCTATCACTACATATTCAAAGGAGTTTCACAATGATCCGATTACTATCAAATCCAAAGTAAGATGGTATGGTAGTTTATCAATACAACAATTTTCAAATTTATAGCACTTTAAAATAAAAATGTTCAATCTTGACTTTTCTTTTTTTTAGTCCCAGATGCTGTTTAATGGGCTAGTGGAAGTGAATATTGTTATTCTCCATACACGAAGGCATTAAACCAAACGATAGAAAAATCATACTAGAAAATTTGTTCCATATGTTCCTACTTTGAAGCAATTTCCTTCAGAATAGTTACTATATAACTATGGAGTGCTTCTGCCACTGTTTTGTCTGGATACCATTTTTTATTTTGGTCCAAGGGATTTGTGAGGCTTATACACAACAAAAATTACTTGTAATATCTTTAGATGGTTTCAGTCATAATTATCTAGATCGTGCTAAGCTTCGGAATGTCAACATTTCCTCTTTTGAACGGATTTGGAAGACCGGAATACGTGTTATGAAAGTACATAATGAGTTTATTACTCGAACAGGACCAAATCACTTATCACTGGTCACTGGGATGCATGAAGAGAGTCATGGTATTGTTGATAATGTGTTTTATGATCCTGAGCTTAATGATACTTTCGACTTGAGTAATACGAGGCATTTATCACAATTAAAGTGGTTTGATGTTGGGTCTGAACCAATTTGGGTTACAAATCAACGTCATGGTCATAAAAGTGCTGTTACGTTTTGGCCAGGGAGTAGTACACCATTCAAAGGACAATTACCTAGTTTTTATTATTCCCAATATAACCATCGACTTCCTTTAGTTGATCGAATTAATCAAACCATTAAGTGGTTAAATTTAGATGAAGTGACACTTGGTCTAATATATTTTCATGAACCTGACTCACAGGGTCATTTGACCGGACCTGATTCTGTTGAAATTTTTAATGTAATCGAGAAGTTAAATGATGATATTGGGTACTTACTATCTTTAATTGATACTAGGCCATCTTTAAAGTCATCACTTAACATTATTTTAACAAGTGATCATGGGATGTCTGGAGTGGATGCTAACAGAATAATTATTCTGCATGATTATATCAACGAGAGCATGTATTATAGTCCGGGGTCAGAGGATCGTGTGTTTTGGTCATTATGGCCAAAAGATGGTAATTTGTCCGTTCATATAAACTTTTCTAAATGTTAAAAGGGAGCTCATCTATTAATCTCTACAAAAGACTGGTCGGAAAACATCCAAAGATGAATGTTTTTCTGAAGGATAATATACCTATTCGTTTACACTACTCGAATAATCGACGAATAAGCCCAGTGGTAGTTTATTCGGAGCCTGGGTGGACAATCGTTAGATCACGAAAATCGGTTGCGAAATTTAGTAAGTATAGTATTTTAAGTATTGATATGCGAGTCGTCTTACTTGTTTTGGTCACATAAACAGCTTCATTTGATTTTATTATCCTAAAATTTTTCCAATTTCTGGTATAAACTATTCTTGTTCAACTTTTAAAAATCAAATTGGTTGTGTTAGCCAAAATCAAAAGTATAAATGAAGGAAGATAGGTACTCGGATGATTCCTTTATATTTTCATCTAGAATTGATAATATTAAACTCCTGCTTGCTGCATTGCAAAATCTGTTATCTTATGACCATTCGTATTTTTTGAACAATAAAAGTGAATCATAGAACTACTATCGATTGTTTTGAAGATTTCAAGCTAAGTTACGTTTATGCATAAACCCATTTTTCACGGATGCCTGGACTTGAGTATGTTCAAGAAACAGTTATAGAGTTTGTCTTATCAATCAGACAGTAATCTAGAGCCCGAAGCAAATATGCATCGTTCAAAGTTCACATGCAATATGAACACAGTGAGATGAAATTATCAAAATGCATACCAAAGTATCAGTGGTAGCAAAAATACTGGGTTTAAAGAAAGTAATTTGCTGTAAAGAATATATTCGCAGAACAAAACGTATTGAGTTTTGAAACATACGTTTTGGGAGTAAACAAACAGTGAATGCATCTACTCCATTTCGACCAATTCCGAGCTATTTTACCCAAGGTTTACAACATATAGCCACGTTTTTCATACCAACCCCAACCTGCCAGTATTCACCTGTCGTTCTGTCTAAGAGTAACAATCAAAATTTTAGAAGCTCAAATTGATCATCTCACTTAATAAAATCTTTAATATATCTAGGTCTTGACATCCCATCTGTTCACATATTTATAGTGGTAAATAAAGTCACTTCTGTCTTATTGCTTCAGGCACTATTTTGAAAAATGGGTCACAACTTCGAACTGTGCATCATCTGTTCAGTTTTGGGCAGTCATTTGGCGTCAATAACGTTTATAAAAGTATGGATCATAGGTTATAGTCTCTGTGTCATATTTTTGATATGATGAGATAGAATTAGGTTCAACAGTTAGGACTTAATCCATTGGGTAGTGAACGACCCGAAAAATTAATACTGGTCAGTCGTTTATAATATTTAGTCGTGTTATTTTCCTGTTAATAATTTTTATATGAATATACTATTCGATCGCAAAAAAAACCCGTACTTTTGTCTAGCGGCCTTAATTTAAACTACAAATTATTCAAGGACTTACATCAATAATTCGGTCCAGTCAGTCAGTCAGTAACAACGTAGAACTTCGTACGTACGTACATCAGTTCGAGTTACCACACCACATTAGCACAGAGATGCACTTGTCGATTCAAATCCCGTAGTGGTAGAGGTAATAAGAGTATAAGCAGTAATCGGGAAGATTAGGGTTTGGAGATGTTATTTAAAGAGTATAGTCCAGTGAAAGAAATTTGGAAAGAGGAAAAAAGGGACATGAAGAATTCAGAAGATTAGAATTTGGGAGAAAATTCATTACTGTACTACATTGTATTGTATCATCTATCGATCCGTATTCTTTTGATCCTTCTTAGCCATTGGAAATTTCAACAAATCATAAAACCTCACCTTATGATAACTTCATTTATTCTCGATAAATACGTTGATAGTAGGTCGTCAGATGTATTTGAACCGTCTAACATTCAAATATTTATTCTGTGATTAATAAGGCCATTCATTTAGTTTTGACACTACGCTATTCACCTTAATACAATTACTCATTAGATCTCAATCCCCTGGTCAATTCTATTTAGTTATATATTGGATTCATTCAGTAATGCTCCTTGTTTACTGTATTTCAGCTAAACGTGGAGATCATGGTTATGATCCGGACCATGATGAAATGTCTCCATTCTTTCTAGCTACGGGACCAGGTTTCAGGAGCACGATTGTTGGTGGCGGTCAAATAATTAGTTCTATTCATCTGATTGATATTTATCCACTGATGTGTGCCTTACTCAATTTAAATAAACCAGCTCCAAACAATGGTAGTTTATCACGTGTGATGTCACTCCTTCATGATGGTAGTGGTGTTAATGTCTACTTCTCGAGTTTTCTGGATATGTTCACTGGTTAGTTTATTCAATAGTTTGCTCGAAGTTATTTGTCACTCACCACGCACATACAATGTTGACAGATTCTCATCTACTGCTTTGTAATTGTTACATTTTCCCGTGTTAGAGATGCTAGACCCCCAGAAATCACCTGATAAACGTCTTATTTCTGTAGTTTTTGGAAGTTTGAATTTCTCGTTTTCGCGCTAAAAGTGCCCAGTTTTACCTTTAGATTGTATTTCCCACTTGGAAGGACGGTAAATGTCATTGACTCGTTGCCTGTTTTAATACGCTATTTTATGATGAATATATATACTTGGTTTCTCGTGCTTCTGGCTGCTTCTAGATTATACATTTTCTTTATCTGAACCAAGTCTTCTCCCTGGAGTAGCAGGGCTGGGACGCATCGGAGTAATTAGTTTGTCTTGTCTTTGTGTCTCTGACCCTTCGTTCCGTCCGCCGATTTTAAGTGATCTCATGATCTCTTCAAACATAACATTCCCTATTCTCCACGAGTTATTTAAATCCAAGTATGTGTGGTCCACTTCTAAATCCTCAGTATAACTCGAGTCTTCACCATCACGTTCTCTGTCACAAAACATTTTGCCATTTTTGATTACACAAAATACACAGTGTCTCCGGAGTTACTCGTTACTATGTTCATTTTATTAGGGTGTATGTCATTTGTTATGAAGGATAAGGATAGATCAGTACAATAGGATATTAATATCAGTTACGGATATTAGCTGACTAATACACCGAGACAAACAACAGCTCATAACATAACAATCCTAAAATCTAGTCAACTGTTTTATCTTTAAGGCCATTAGGAGCTGATACATAAAACAATAGGAATTATCTATTGTGATTTAAGATATATGGTTGGAAGATATTTAAATGAAATCAGGATTTTGAATTCCATATAATCTGTTGTTATGCTTTGAAAGCCATCTAAAAGTTCCATCTTGAAGTTAGTTATCGATTTCCTATTTTACTCTACGTCAAAGTATTTAATACGGAACTCAGATAGCATAAGTAATAATAATAATAATAGATTCCGAGAATTATTGCATAATATACGTCATTTTACAGGCATGGTCAGGTTGATACAAAACATTACTAAGTAACACTAGTAATAACTATAAGTCTATTCTATCTGGAAGATGACTTCTAATCATTTTGGACAAATCTGATTTTTTTAAAAAGCAAAACTTTCAGTGTAATAGAATGGATATGTGTATCCGTGAAACGATTTTTCAATACAACATTAATGATTGTTTACAGTCCATAGCATAGCAAAATCAATTTTCGTAGGCATAAATTCTCTACAAATATACAGACTGGTAGCATATACAGAGTTACTAAGCATGTGGCATAAATGTACCCTCAGCACTCTTACGGAGATGCAAAACTTATTAATCAATATATATAACTTAATTGCTAATTGCTATGTTTGAAGAGATTACGAGTTCGCCTAAATCTGCGAACGGAACGAAGACTGAACAACACAATAACCAATAAGATAGCTATTCTGAGGCGTTCCAGCCCGTCTAACTGGAGTGAAGTCCAGGTTCAGAAGAGGGAAATGTATTCACAAGCAGCTAGAAGCACGCACAACATAAGCGTATATATACAGCATAAAAATGTCTTTGGGAAACGTTACAAAGTAGCAGATTAAAAAAGACAACGAACCGATGATATTTAAGTTCCTCCCAAGTGGGGACAACGACATGAAGGTGAAAACGGGCGCTTTTGATGCGAGAACATGAAATTCAAAATTAAGTTACAAAAATAAGACATTTACCAAGTTAGTTCTGGAGATTTAACATCCCCAAGATTCATACAGTAAATGTCGGCTCATTATCATAAATATTAGACTAGTATTATACATATTACAGTTCTCTTGTATTATAACTTAATCCGAATATTATATCAAGAGTTACGAATTATTCTAATTCAACTTAGTAAAAATTAGCCATTACGTAGTAATTTGTCCACCCATTTATGAATCACACTATAAGTTCTGTTCATTAATATTACATATTTTCTCATAAGAGGATTAAGTGAAGTGGATTTCAAACCTCCTATTCAATAAACCGTATGTCAAGTATATCACCCATTACATAAGATAGCTATCCACCTATGTTACTAATAATATCCTTATCAATCTACTGTTTGCACAGTATAATATAAGTGTGGTGGATGGTATTTATCCCGGCACATATAAGTAGTATGTATCACCAGTCGCGAGTGCAATATCTGCCAAGAGAAGATTGAATTAAGAAAAAACAGGAAGGGAAACAGAGAACAATTGAAATAACAACATAATTAGAACAATCACAAAGTATGGAAATAACAACTGAAGAATGTGCAAACAATGTGATCATTGTATAGCTTCCATATTTTGACAAGATGTCGTGTGTAATTTTACACACAAAAAAGACAATAAATTGGTTCACATTACCCGAGCTCTCGTTTACTACATAGGTATCGTATCATAATTATTTGTTCGAGTACCTGTTTACTCATTTTAACCGGTACTGTTTTAACCTAACCTAATTGTTCACTTGCTCATTCATATACTACCAATGTTACATCCTTCTTACTTGACTATATTTATTTATTTATTTAAACACATAAATATTGGTACAAGGAGGCACCAAGTAGATATACGCCACACAGACCTCATTTGATATGTGTGAGGGCTGTGTACTGCCTGGGTGCCCAAACTGAAGCAAGTGGTTTTCTTAGGGGGCCACATCCGGAGCCTTCAACCTAAAGTTCTGACCCACAAGGCAATGGAGTATTGTGAGGAGATGCAGTCCCATGGTAGCCGGTGACCAAGGATTGTTTTATACGCCATTTGTTCCCGCAGGATACTGGAGCCCATGCGCACCATTGGTTTGGAATGAGGGTTTTCCAACTCCCCTATGTGGACTCTCCGCGTCCACCAACCCAGCTAAAGCGCCGGACATTCGCTTTTCGTCCTCTCAATTCCGTAAACGACACCCCCGCCACGAGAAGGCAGTGAGTAGGACTCCCCTGGCAGAGACTGTGTACGCGTGGCCGTGTGAGAGCATTTCGAGAGGGAGGGCGGGCCGGCCCATTCTACTCTCGGCCATATCAGGGCATTTGGGGGGTACTTGACTATAAGTCTATGACTTCATATATATATATATATAGCGAGAGAGATTACTTTTGATGATAGTATATGCTTTTTTAATCTGATCTTATTGTTTGTGTTCTTCTCTTCTCCAAAAATTGATCAATCAAAATAATAGTCGGAATTGTCTTATTATGTTGTACAACCGTATCAATTGTATACATAATATGCACATGTATTTCATCTAAAGATTATCTATTTCCTGATGATGATAATAATAATAATAAGTTAAAACATTCTATTTATCAACCAAATTCATTTCTACTTCAACGACGTTTACGTAATAAATCTCAACATGATAAACAAAAACAACAATATTGTAATATTGAATTAAATAAGATGAACACTTTAAAAAATAAAATAAAAACAAAAAATAAATTCTATGAAATGTATTTAAAAGATGAATCAATTAAACAAACAACAGATAGACAACGATTACTTGATTATAATATACGGGATAGTAATGTTCCCAATAGTTACAATGTCAGTCGTTATGATGATGATAATGATGATGATGAAGAATATAATCGATTTTCTATTCAACATATAGATGATAAAACTTTTTTAAATTTACTTCGTCAACCAAATAGTAAATATCCTTAAGAATGCTTAAAATTTTTATTCTATTAATCTATTAGTGGCTTATTCTGTCAGTCTCTTACTTTGTTTCTACATGTTGTGATATTGAAATTTGTGATATATAATCATAGTGATTTAGGTGCATTATGATTTGAAGTTTATATAGATGGCTGTGTTTCATGTTATTATTGTATTTATGCATAGGCAAGTGGCATAAATTTTTGTGTTTTCTTGTTCTTATTATATTTTCAAATAACTGTATCTACTTTTGATTACTTCGTTTATGTACATGTATTGACACATACTTGTATGAACATGTATCATTTAAGGTATCAATTCGATTATTACTTTTTATGTATGTGATGGATATTTGTGATATTTTGCCAAGTTTTCTTTGGTTATTTTTGTTTATGAATTTTTATTAAATATTATTTAGTTACTAATTTTTTTTAATGTTTCATTTTGATTAAATTTCATGAGTGTCATCTATTGTAATGTGCTGTGTCCGAAATCTGATACTAACAAGGTGGGCTACGTGTTAACCCCCCCGACTGACTACTTGAGCGAGAAAGTGTATTGGGCTACCCGATGAAATACACTTGACCTTTAGGCGACTTGTAATTGCCATCGATTAAACTTTTCATTAGGCTACTCCTTGTTGGCTCTCCATATCATCTATCACTAACCCTACTGGATCGTTAGTTGATCGTTACAAGAATCATACTAAGGAATACTAATATATAAGAGATTTAATTTCAAATGAAATTACTGAGATTAGCGAGTGGAAAGTATCAATTTAGAGGGGAATGTGAATGATAAATTCAGCTCGGTGGTATTGTAACCGATTTTATGCCATATCACTTTTACCAATGTGAATATCTGCTCCTCTTGAAATGTTTCATTCTATCCATTAATGGTATCATGAACAGATTCTGTCCCTTAATGAGTCTTTCTTAATTATTGTGGAGCTTGGCATAAATATGCATTAGCTTAAGTCATCACACCATGTCAGCACGGGGAGATGAAATCAACAAAATAGATATCGAAGAAGCAGTAATAATCACAACAATAATTGTGAGAAATTTTATGCAATTAGTTCCCTTTATGAATTTAAATAAAGCCAGAACAGAACATACATGGATGCAGAATAATGTGAATTCATTATATTTCGTGGTTTCTCATCAGCTGCTTACAACCAAATATGTATTAAAATTTCACATTTAGATAAGATATAATGTGAAACGATTGACATAGATAAATGAGAAGAATTGAAATGAGAAAGGTTGGCCGCTGAGAATATGATTCTAGAAGATGGGATGAAAAGGTATATAGGAAGTATTCAATAAATAAAGTTTAGTATTAAAATAAATGGACCTGGATCGTTGTAACTACTTCTGACCCATATCTTCAGTCGATCATAGCCTTTATCATGTGGGTCTCCATCAGACATCTTACACCCACCAACATTGCTTAGAATTACAGTCCACGATTTCATGTACTGATGACATGTCTTGATTTGACAGCTTCCTTCCATACCAGACAACAAACGCACTCCGAGTTAGACGGTGGATGGACATATAAACGTGATTTATTCTTAACCCTTTACACCATAAAAATGTTCAGAGCTCCCAAGATGTTGGTAAAGAATGTGCTACTTTTCTATTACTTACTTACTTACGCCTGTTACTCCTCGTGAAGGAGCATAGGCCGCTCACCAGCATTCTCCATCCAACCCTGTCCTGGGCAATCCTTTCCAGTTCCTATTCATCCTTTTCATATCTGCTTCTATTATCCGACGTAATGTGTTCTTTTCTATTAAATAACTTTAATAAGTATTTATCTAACACTTTGAAAGATCACCTTTAGCTCGGTGATAAAAACACCTATTTAAATGACAACTCAAAGTTCGGTTTCTAAGATTTGGAATGTTTATGGTGTTTTCATGGTGTATAATAAGACTAGATATTGTGATTGTTTGATTAGTTGTCGATCTGCAATTTAGTTAATAGATAGACCGTACATATGTGTGCAATGTATGAAGACCATTCAATCGTTCTTAATAATCAAATCAAATATGTTTAGGTCATTCATACTGTATTTTCATTTTCCCTCCATCAACCACGTCTGAATTGAGAACTATTTTCAGCTATATTATTTCATACTGAAGGTATTCCAGATATAAGATTAGTCTAGAATATCTCAAACAGATTATACTCGTGGCTCTGATAGGTCGGTCTATTACTGATAAAAATTCCCGAGTGACATAATTAGTTGAGAGACATTTCGCGTAGATATTGGTGAGATCAACCTCAAAGGAACACAATGATCCTACTGTGAAAACCAGCTTGATGGAGTTGGTGAAACCTGCTTTTAATAAAATCAAAAGCCTCGTTTGCAGGCCTTTCTTAAAGTATCTAAGAAGCGCAGAGGGCATTCAGGGGCTCTTTCGAACTGCCAAAGTTGGCGTAGTTACTATCCCACACAGTTGTACTATCGCATGGATAGTTTCGCAATCTAGTCAAATGATAAATTGTGTTGACTGCTCTCAGAGTATCCGTCACCTGGCTATCCTTCATAGTTGTCATTGTAGCGGGTTCTGTATATGACACTGTTGGTCCTGTAACTTATTTCGTAAAGCGAAAAATCTACTAACGAAATAAAACCCACACCTAGTCTTCCTTGAGTGCATCATAGAAACCGCAAACTTTTGTGGCCAAATGCGAAGTGATGGAAAATCTAATTCATGAAAGTTATCCGTACTCAGGTTAAAGTAAACTTAAAAAGAAAGAATATTTAATACTTATGACAGAACTGTTCCGCGTCTGACTTCTGTTTTTGCAATATTCAATGATATTATTTTGACACATTACGACCCTTATCGATCTTGGAAAACTTTTGGAAACACTGGAAAGCTGTTTAGACTATGCACGAGACTTATCGTACCCGACTCCACCGAGGATCGTACCCAGGACATTCAACCTTAGGAATGGATGCTTAACTACTAGACCACAATCGGTGATCAATAGTGTTCATGTGTAATATCACAATTGATTAAATTTAGACATATATACTAGTGGATCTTAGTTCAGTTGTCTAGAGGCTAAGGGCTTTCGTACAAGACCGAAGGTCATGGATGCTCAACACTAAGGAGTTCAATACTAAAACTGAACTGGTGTTTAGTGCTTCCTGGTTGTCAGTGGTTTTCTAACTAATATCAATCAGTATTATAATCCAACAATCTATAGTAATGGTGTTATTTTGTCTACCACACCTGTTGTTATATTTATTATGCCAATTTTTAATCTGATTATCATCAAAGTTTAAAGCATTAAAGTAGCAAGTGTTTATATTCATTCAAAATTTGATTTAAAAATGTCTGTTATAAGTTGGTGATAGATTATTTGTTGTAAGCTTCCATGTTACTTCAGGATTTCGCACTAAATAATGATGTTTAACAAATACCACATTTCAAACAAACGTAGATTTGCTACAACTCGCACGAACTTCCAACTCTTTAATTCCTATCGATAGGGTTAACTATTCTATCGATCTCAATAGTTGTACCAGCGATATATGGTTGACTGATGATCAAATATCAAGGGAACTCCATTTTTACGGCTCCAATTACAGATAAGCAAAAACAATTTAAAACCTATCACAGTCATGTACTAGTCTAAGCTGTTACAATAGGAGAGCGAATAGAAATAATCAGATGAAAAACTGAAAACTAAAAGGAATTAGTGGAGCTATCTCATTGTCATATATGTTGGAGTATATGTCCCAGATTCCTGTACCATTGTCTTCTTTTGGCTCATTAAACTAGATCAGCTCATATTCTTATCCCTGAACAGTTGCCGTCAAGATATATATATAATGTGAAAACCATACATTCAAAACTCCATCTGCAAATCCTCCATCAAATGTCTCAAAATTCATCGTCTCTTATTGCCATAAAAATTACTCTCTGTTCCCGTTCTCTTCGACTCGATCTTCCCAACCTGCTGCTGCTAGGCATTCCACTTCTGTTTGTTGTTATAAATTACTTATCTCGACACCATATATATATATATATAATGTGACATTAACTATACTGGTAATAAAACTAAATGATTGATTATGACTTTGAACCGTTTTATAATCGATAAGGTTTTCTCGATTTGTTTTACGCAACATCCTTTATCACTGTGCCTAGTTCATTATTATTATTATTATTATTATTATTATTATTATTATTATTATTATTATTATTATTATTATTATTATTATTATTATTATTAAATCATATATTTAAGCAGACAGTTTAGAGTCTTATTTATGGATTTGTCCACCCAAAAATCAATATAATTGAACAGAATTATTGAAAATAGTGATTTTAAAAATTGTAAATAAAAAGTCAGAGACAATTGACGATAACACTCACCAATATGGATTTGTGAAAATTATTAAGATTTTGATTGAGATAATGAACCGATTGATGTTAGATCACCACTGAAAGCACTGGTTGGTCGTCTCATCCTATTGTGGGACTCTCCAGCGGTGCGTCCACGATCCCGCTTGCGGGATTCGAACCCAGGACCTCTGGTCTCATGCGCCAACGCTTAACATCTAGACCACTGAGCCGGCATCCAACGGTGTTAATGTCTAGCTTCAACCAAACCACGAAATTATGTCACCATTCACCATTGTCTTCGATAAGTTACTATCTCACAACAGACCCGGTTGAACTCCACTGGTCATGAAGTGATTAAATCTGGAAATGTAGGGCTACTGAACCACAACTAAATGATGATGTCGTAAGTTCATACTTCCAAACAGTCCCATACAAGCGATGCTTGAATTAATTATTCTTTCTTAATAAAGAAGAACAATATTAACAGAATAAAATGAGTTCATTATATTTCAAAGCTTCTCATCAACTGCAAAGAGCCTATATGTACTGTAGAAATATTATTAGAAGGGGTTTTGTGGAGACTGTAGTAATTTCAATAGTTGAAATCATGAGTCAGTGCATGCTCACTGCTGTGGACTCCCACAATAGTTCGAAACGGCCGTCCAGTGCTTCCAGGTTTTCCATGGTAGTCTAACTTCGATTGACTCATGATCTCAACTATAGAAATATTATTATAACAAATATTATTACATACCATAATTAATGAACTTTAGTTCAACAAAAATCTTGAGAAACATGAAGAAACTATATATTTAAGTTAATAGTTAAGAATGTTTTGTATTTCATTTCATATATTGAAAGTAAAAGGGAGAAGTGGTGACGTGTTGGGGGGGGTCGGTAAGGTTGTAAGTGATCATAAAGAGACGATGAATAAAAACAAATCGTTAACATTTTTTTGAGTAATAATATTTCTGGAAGCACTGAACGGTCATTTCGTCCTATTGTGGGACTCCTCAGCAGTGCACATCCAAAACTAAAATATCCACAAAACCC